AGAAAAAGACAACTTATAGTCAGTCAAATCTATTCAAATAAAATCGTTGATGCAGATTCATCTAACAAACTTGATAATAGAAGCTCATTTGCTGGTTCGTGCAGACCTTGTATTTTATTCAGCCAGTGTCACTGCGGGGTTTTGTCCTCAACGATTTTCTTTTTGGTAATTCACATGTGTCACAGAGAGAAGACTCGGCATCTAATCGGATGTGAACTTTCCCTCCCAGGGCTGCAAGGGCCGATTTAGAGTCCTCAATCAGATTAACATGCAGGTTTTTGGACAAACGGAGGAAGACTTAAGAAAGCTTAGGTTCCAGAGATTCAAATGTCTGTATGTAGACCATTTCAGGAAACAGTCATGACTCCGGACATGGCAAACACGCATGTCAAACCAGTCGCAACTACCAAAGTATGATCCAACTTAATTCAACAAACAGATACGACAACACAGGTCCTGTTATTTCGGCTGGGGTGTTTATGTACTTCAGTAAAATAATGAGTCCACAACAAGCCTCACATCCATGAAGACACAAAGTCCTTCCTGGAAACTTCTTACAAGTCACTTCATCCTGGCCTCTACTCCAAATACTTAAACTGACTTTGGTTATGCCTGTTTCAGCCGTTTAAGGCAAACATTTTAGGAATCTTAAGAGGTTTTTTTTCCAAAACAGAGCACCCATAAATGTTTAAGAGAAAGTGCGATGTTGGAGACAAAACACCTCAAAATGATACACAATCATATGCGTAACACTGAGTGACTTTGCAGCAAAGTGTGGCAACATTTAGCATTTATCTGTAGAGGAAAATCTCTCTATTGTGCAACTGTTATGTCAGACTGCAAATGTAGGTTTGTGAGTTCAGACAAACACAAACCCACGACGTCTCGCAATGCTGGAAAGAGCTCAGAAAGTCGCTGAATGGTGATGGGGGATAATTACGAAGCATCTCCATCTGTTCTCAGTTACACTGAAGAGGAGAGGGCCGGGCCTGGGGAGGCGAACCACCATAAAGACTGTAGGGGACAGGAACAGCTGCTGGCTACATCCACCTCCGCACCAACATGGAAAACATTAGCCCGGACATTCGTGGATCTCTGCTCTTCATAGATGGAATTCCTTAAAAGGAAATTAACAGAAAGAATGGAGGAGACCCACACCCAGCTGACTTTTATTTTTAGAAATGTATAAAATAAAAACCTTAAGACAGAAATAACCAACACACCAGGCTGCTGTGAAACACAAAGGGTTTGAAAACAATGAAACTATTCTACGACCTCAGAAATAACGATTTAGTAGAAAACTGCTCACTGCAACAATTCCCAGACAAAGAGAAAAAAATAAAACTTTTAACTGGCTAATTGCTGAGTAAGCAGTGCGTCAGTAAAGGAAGTGGAGATGTTTCCATCGTGAGGGGTGGCGTGCACAATGAGAGAGACACAGAGCAGTAAGAGCTTTTCCCACCAGAATGTGTCATAGTAACTTCTTCAATACAACGCCTTCCTCTTTGCAGTTTCTGTTCAGCTTCTCTGCATCCTAACCCCGATCCTCCCGGCTGCCTCCACCTGCCTGCTCCTCCTCTGCGCTCTTATCCACGCTGCTGACAGTCCGAGCTGTTGGCCTATAATTCTGCTGATAAATAGGCTTTGGATTAACCACGTTAACGTGCTCGCCGCGTGCCTCGCATTCCGTCGCTTTCTGCTGCTGGTCAAAACTCTCCACGAGGCCAAAGGTTCACGAGGAAACACCCTTCGCCAAGCTGCAGAGTTTTAGGGCTTTTAAGCATTGCTAGTGAAATGAATGAGAGGAAAAAAAGACTCAGGTAACTTGAGTCACAGTTAGCAAAGGTTAGCAAAAGCCTGATGATGCAACTATAAACACAGCTAGGATGGCTGGTACTTTGGGAAGGTGAGGAAGCCGGGGACAACATTTTTTTCTAATTATGCTGTGGAAAATACTCTGAAAGCTGATTAAGAGCCGCTACCTGATACAGACAACACAGTGAATATTAAAGATGCGTTTTCTGATTATCTTTCTGTCAAATAATCCATGCAGGGCAAAAGAGGGGGTGTGACAACTCCAAAAGATTCATGCTTCGGGTCAAGGAAGACCATGTTTTATATCAACAAAATTAGCAAGAACAAAAGCTTTGCTGCAAAGCTGCCACCCTTGAAATGTGAACCCTAAAACTATACCTCAGCAGAATCTACCTACAAGTGGATTCACTACTCAGACCCCGGTTGACAAATTAAGCCAAAAGGCAGCGGCCGACACGGTGCTGGTCTCACTGGTGTAAATTGCATGCTACACGGAACAGATTTTACAAACAAAGGACCTAGAAATCAGGGCCTTGGACCAGCTTTGGCATTAATCCTGACCTGCGCTCAACACACACCACCGAGTCCGGGGGATTACAAATGTCCCCAGTTTGTTTGAAGTGGCTGTGAACAAGCAGCAAGCACTTTAAGCCACCTTTGGTGGCCTAAGCGCAGAAGCAGCTCTTCCAGCAATATTCCACTGGAAGAAAACCAGCTCAATATTTAAGAGAGAGGTCTCTTTATGAGGGGGTTTAACTGAACTGTCAACTTTCTCTGCTCCGAGTCCTTCTCATGTGATTATGGGATGAACATGGCAGAGAAAAGCAAAGAGCTACAGGTGCTGCTTGTACTCTATCAAACTTTTTTTTTCTTCTTTGAGCCAAGTGGGAGGCGTTACTGTTCACCAAACATACGATCCTAAAGAGAGCACAGCTGAGAGAGAAATGGAGCCTGAAATAAAAAACCTATTCAGGCGACTTGTTGACCAGCAGGGACTTTTACAAAAGCAACGTGCTCAGATAAAATCACCTTAAACAGAGTCTGTTTATCTTTCAGCAGCTGGCCGCTTTAAAAGCAGTGGGTTCACACCCACAGCCACTGTCCTTAGACTGGGGCCTAACGGGGCCAAAGGAGGGAAAGTGAGAGCTGACGGCCAGCATATCACTCCATCTAAAACCAGCCATTTTTCTATTAAACAGGAAGAAAATGACTTTGCGAGAAAGTTAGCATCTGGGAGGAGAAGTTAGAAAAAGGGTGGAGCTCACACTAAAGACGTTTCCACTAGGGAGAAATATATTACTGTTCGTTGGAACAAATTGGAGTAAATAAACTGAATCCTTTCTCATAAGTACATTAAACTAGACTCAAATGGGCACTGAAAGGGTTCAAGTGTAAGTCAAATTCCAGTTGAAGCTGTTGTCAATTACCATATTTCGATAACTTTGTGCAAAGGCTATCACATGTCAAACAGCAGAGCTTTAAGAACTCTCAGAGTTCCTCTCTGCTCTAATAAAACAAATCCTTTAACAAAAGTAATGCCAAAGGTCATGAAAGAGTCCCTATATTAAATTACCTTGAGATGGGAAACCATTAATTAAAATAACTGACTTGTGTTTTCCCAGACAGGTTAAAATATTCCAAAATGTAAGTGGAATTTTCTCCTTTTTTGTCCTCTCTTAATGTGAATGTTCCCCTAAAAGACATTCCAGCCTAAAAAACTCAGTTACAAACACAGTAAATACAGCCTATTGCCTTAGGCTAAACATATATCAAAGCCAAGAATGGCAAATATTAAGAGAAATTTAGTCACCTACACTATAAATGAATGTATACAAAAAATCACCCATTAAAAAAACATTTCAAGTCACCGCCCAAAAATTTACATTTACACAAATACAACACAGCCAATAAAAACTTGAGCTATCTCCTCTAATACCAAGTTTTTTTTCACGAGTAAACTGTGTGATAAAGAAATAACGTCACATTTCCCATGTCTGAAAAGGGCTTGACCGATTCGTGCGGTTTGGTGACCAAGTGTGGCTTTAGGGAAAGAAATATGGACACAGGGTGGTCCAACAAACCTTCTTTAGACAGCTTTAGTGCTCAGCTGAAAGCCAAACCGATGACATTCTTCAGCTCTTCTCAGATTAAAAAAAACTAACCCAGACTGCTAAAACGTGTTCATATCATGCATTCATCCCATAAAGAAGCATCTGTGTCACATTATCTGTCATCTCCAACATTATATTTCTGATTATTTGGCGTGAAAATCGGCAACCCCATGTCGCCATTTCTCCTCTAATGCGTTCACTCTCCTCCATTCAAACTCCAGTCAGAGACCCCTCAAGGCAGCATTTTCATTTTCGATACAAACACTACCGGCATTGTGCACTGGCAGAGTTGTTATCATATTTGTGGCTGTGACAGATCTGCAGCATGTAAGGAGTGAGTCGCATGAGCATCTGGGTGGTAAGAACCAACACAGGACTGACCTGGGTCGGTGACCCCGGTTGGACCAGCATCCCTGGTCCTGACCCCTGTGGGAGGCTGAGAGCTGGGAGAGAACAGGACGTTGTTTCTGTGTCCACTTTGGGTCACTTACATGTGTAACTGCTATTAATGTGTAGTAGAGGTTCTTGTTCAACTGTAAATAAGCTAATTCAAATTTGTTTTATTATATTAATAGGACCAAAACATATGCTTACATCATAGAGGCTTTTATCGTGTTTTAACGTGCCGTTAATTAGTCGTTTCCCACTCTAAAGTGTTGTTATCTTTACTCTACAAGCTACCGTTTACAAACTCCGAGATAATTTGACAGAACCGTGTCATATCACTAAGTACATTCACGACATTAAGCTAAACTACACAATAGCCCGAGGAAGCATTTTAAGTTGCCGTTTTTCTCTGTAAAAAAGAAAAAAGAAAACCGAAGTGCTTAATTCGGCATGTCGTCGACAGTGAGCTCGTTAACACGGTAAATGCTATTACGGGGTATTTATAGTTAGCTAGGGCAGTTAGTGGACTTCAGAACGGCGACGCGGACAGAAAACAAAAGACTTACGGTAACACGTTCAACCTTGCCAGGTAGCACGCGAAGTACACACGGGACCACGGTGCTTTTTCCCCCCATAAACAGGGCACCGGCACCGGCACCGGCACCGGCGACGCCAGACCTCACTTACCCAGAACGGGCGCTCCGCTCCGCACAGCCGCTCCATCTCCGTCGTAACGGGAAACCGGGAAGGACCGGGCAGCCGCGTATCCCCCCTCCGCAAGGTCGAGCCCTTCTCCCTCCGACCGCCTTTCCGTTCGCCGTCACGTTACGACACGCGCGCGAGCCGTCGCATGCCACACACCTAGGGTCGCGCGGTGTGTTCGGTGGCGGGGTGAGCCCCGGTTTTTTTTTCTCCCGAAAGCGTGGAGCGACCTGCGTCAGGAAGCAGTCGGCTCCTTCCGCTCTGCTGTCGGGCGGCAGAGAGACACAGAGGCACGGGGAGAGAGAGAAGTCATTCGGAGGCAGCCAAGAATTATTTCTACTGGAGGCTCGCGCGGCGGCAGGGCGTCGTTTTCGGAGACCCCGCCCCCTCGCCCCCGCTCTCCTCTACTACAAACACACCAGAGTATGACTCAACAGTAATACGGTGCTTTTTGTTGCTGAGTCATGTTGCCGGCATCTGGAGAAAAAACACGTTTTATGTCATTATGAGAGTTTTTTTTCTCGTTATATTGTCTGATACCATGACAATAATTCATTTCTCGTCCCTCTCCTATGACTTCCTGCAGGTGTGATGGCTGGATCTGTGGTTGGGAGTCTCCTGCTGCCCCCCCTGTTCCTACTATGCAACAATTACAGCCACTGTTTATGGTCTTACTGCTGTTATTACTGCTATCATTATTATCATTATTACTCTGACAATGTTTAAATCCAGGCTGAAAACGCTTCTCTTTAACTGTGCATATGGAAATTGAACGTATTTTATCTGTACCCTTCACTTTTTATCTATCTAATTTTTAGCATTTTTCTTTGTGTCTTTGTTTCTCATGTAAATTACTCAAAATCCAACTGACCTGCTGTGTTTGGAAAGCTGTCAGATAACTGTTGGTTTTGCAATTAGGCGCTGAATAAATAAAATTGAATTGAATTGAATAATCAGCTTAGAGTACAGGGCTAAGATATTATTGCTATTTTTTGTAGTCCCCACAGGAAGATGATTACAAATGTGCGGGCCACAAAAGCCCCATCATCCTACAACAGATGGCGTTGGCCCAACAGAGCCCGGACTGCAACGTCATGGTCATCAGCCCGGGATTAGTCTTAGAGTCACTACTTGCATCATCCACCTGCAGATACTGAGCACCGATTGGAGGTTTTCACTGTCTCTTTGCTGAACTTTGGTTTAATTCCCTCCAGAGATCCATAAAGAACGGGTTCGGTCAGATATGGGCTTCCCCAGCCCGACAGAGACGTGCACTCTCACCCCAGGCCCCGTTCATTCGCTGGCAACCGACACAGTTCAACACGCATGGCTGAAAAGGTTCGTTTGCAGAGGCGTGTCAGAGAATCCGCCTCTACCTCTTAAACCAGTCGTGCAAGAAACTCCTGGTGTTCTGGCTCACTGGTTGTCAGCAAAAAAAAGGTTTCTGAAGGGATTATTGATGCTAAAAGTGGAGGATTTTCTCTATTTCAATGCAAGTCAATGCAAGCAAAGAAATCATATTCAACTGTACTTCTTTCTCCTTTTTTTCGTTTTTGTTTGCATTACTCCCTGAAACCCTGAGAAGGCTGAAAGGAACACTGCTGTGAGGTTATTGCTTTAGTAACCGGAGCACATTTGTTCCATTCAGTAAAATGTGGTGTAAGGAGTGAGTCAGCACATTTTAGAACAACTACTGGTTTATATTTTCTGTTCATTTGTATGCTTTTCTTTCCCTTTTTGTATGTTCATCATGAAAATGATTTTCTTAACATTTATCATTTTTATATCTGTATACATACATTTATTTTTGTTTGTTTTACATATTCCTTTACATCTCTTGCAGATTCCAGCACTGTGGGCTGGCTGACCATCGATGTTGCTGAGTCACTGTCCCTGATTTAATCTAAAGAATTATTTTTAACTACACAAGCAATAACAAATAATGGTAAATGTTGGAAATGTCTAATTCGATGTGTGCATGACATCAAACACCATGGCAGCGGTTTGTAAAGATTTTATTTGTCAGTACATGATGGGAAATAATATGGCCAGACCCTGAGGTCAGACTACACAACACAAAAACAAGGGTTACATCTCAGACTTTATGGACCATTAAATGTTAATGTTAATTATAGTGATACTAAAAAGTATGGTTTGTTTGGAGGCTTAGGATTAAGGTTAACTTTACCCCTTAAGGCTGACAAAAAGAGGTCCAACAATCACAAGCCAAACACAATCACATCACACAAAAAAGCATAATTCTACAAGCTGTTTCCACACTTTAGCAACAGCTTTAGTGAACTAAATGATGACACTATGTAATATTTGGTTTCGTGTATTTAATCTATAATTCATTCATATCAATGGAAGCGTGGAGTAAAGTGGTTTCCTGAGCTTCTAGAGTCACTGGAGTGTGATCAGCAGCCCGGGCCTTCAGACACATCCCTGCCATGACAACCATCCACGCAGCCGCTGGCTGATGACCCGATCAACCCTCCCAGGAGCTCTGGTTTGTACAGCTGCACCATTTCCACCCCCAGGAATGTTTAGACGTTGAAACCTAGCCAGCAGTCCATTTGGAAACTGAGCAGAATTGTCTCACCATGAGTCCTGCTTGTCTTTGAAATTGTGCCTTTACAACTTCAGTGTTTCAAAATGTTATATTTTGAGGGATGTGCAGTTTGATGTGTGACCTATGATGACCTTTCACCCCCTGTATATGCATGTGTTCTCCTCCCACAGTCCATCTTAGGGTCAGGGATGCTTCTGAACGCCCCACTGGTGTAAATGAGAGTGTTTGGTTGTTCTTTTCTGTTTGGCCCTGTGATGGACTGGTGACCCGTCCAGGTTGGGCCCTGCCTCTTACCCAGTGTCAGCCGGGATAGGCTCCATTAGATTACTGCATTACATTTTGATCAAAATAAATCAGATTCAAAAACAGCCTGAGTGTGGGGAATTTGACTTTGTCTTGTTTAGAACTTTTAGATGAAATGTGAAATGTCTTTAAGATCCAAAAACAAGTCAAATTGCTGTTACTCGAGTTCTTGGGTGTACCGTGTCCCGTAAGACTAAAAATCTCCTCAAGCTCATTGAATCTCTTTACAGTTGGCTGGCATGGGGCTTTCTAAGTGCCTTCAGTCAGCACTTGCTATATGAATGAAACATCACTGAACTTAGCAACCTCAATAAAAGAAAAAACATGTTTCCTTTTATTATGCATCTATTTTTCCAAAGTTTGCTGCTTTGCTCAACCTTTCCCCTGTGCAGCAGCTTTTCAAGAACAGTCAGAACCGGTTTGAGTCCTGGAGCTGGATGGCCTGATGTCCTATCTGATGTCCTTCCTCTGGTGCTACAATATTGCAGCACATCACACCTTGAACCGCCTTTTATTAGTTGATATCTTACCACTACAAACACTTAACCTTACCAGCCTTACCACTCCAACAGGAAGTAGCATCAATGTTCTCTTTAAGCTTGTGGAAGCAAGAATTTATACTGTTTGAACTATCTTTAAATACAATATTTGGATCCACCAAAACCTCTTCAAGAAGCTGTCTGTCATTTCTTTAAGTCGTAAAAAAACGTTAGGCTTCAGATTTGCAATGTATTAGCTATTTATCCCCACACCCCAGACAGTGTAAAACCACATTTTGAACACATTGACTATGGTTTGGATCGGAGGCACAAATGTCCATGTGTTTTCACAGACATGCATTTGTTGGTTAGTCAGGATTTTTCATTCTTACCAAGGAGCAAAGTATAGAATCATTAGTGTATTTTTAAAAATCAATTATATGGAAGTAAACCAAACTTTTGACGTACAAAAGTGGACTTATTTCGACAAGTTGAATTCTGCTGACAAAAAGAATAAAGATGATATTTTATTGAATTTTAATCGTGTGTACAGACATTAAAGTTAAAGTAAATGTAAAAGACCATTAAATTATCCCAACTTTCTCTGTTTGGTGGTTGTATCCTGCAGGAATATATCCACAGAATGGGTTATAGGATTGGCAGAAGCCAGGCTTTGGTAATTCCCTGGGACTTATGCTTCAGGTGTCACTCTTCCTTGTTCAAGAGGGATCTGATTACAAGACGTTAAGCCCTTCTGTTCTTCTCCTCGGTTTTAAGAAGAGCTGACCTTGGCCCACTCAAGGCTTCCTCTCCAGCAGCGACTGAATGGATTTTCTTGTGGGTGAATAGCTAAAGTGGGCCGGCTGGCAGGGAAGCTGCACACCGGAGATCCTGAGGTGACTTATGAGGGAAGCCCCGTGTTGTGGTGCACTCTGCAGGAGCTGTCACAACTTCTCAGGCATCAGAAGTATCCCGTTACGCAAGCAGTCCCCGTTCTGTACTGAGCAGCTCCACTGTAAGCCATCACAGGACTCAGCCCTCTGCCTGCTGCTGGAAAAGCCCAAAAAGAAGACAAATTCAATTCAATTTGGTTGAGTGGCATATCCTAAAAAATGTCATCTCTGTGCACTTCAGAAAAAACGCAAATTCAAAGCATTTAGAATCCAATTCATTAAAAATCCGTAAAACGAAAGAAATGCCTGGAGTTGAACAGAATACAAATTTTGAAAAATCAACAAACTAATGATAAATAAAATATACCAACACATTGTCTTCTTCTGAGGCAGCTCATCTCTCACAGCTCCTCTTTGTGAGAGCTGTTTCTGAGGGGGGGGGGCGCCATCTTGTGCTCACAGGGTGATGCTACATGTCAGGCCAGGCTTCGATGTGGCCATTTTTTAATATCAGATGTCCAAGTTTTACCTGATAGAGGAGGTGTGACAGAAAAATGACCAAAGCAACTCAGAGTACGTCTGTCCAAAATGCAGATTCATTCCTCTTTACCATGAGACCTAAATCATACCATCCCAAATACTGGGTTTTGAAACTTTCTTTATAAAATCAGTCAGTAGTTGTTTCTTCAAAAGCACATAAAAACTTGGACTCATTTCACACGTTCCTCGTCCTCCATTGATCTCCATCAGGGAGGAGCCACATTCCAGGGAAGTCAGGAGTGTTGGCAAACATAAATCCTCTTCCTTGTGTAGTAAAACATCAGGTTATATCTGTTGGCTCTGTAGCCAACAGCAGTTTAGGAAAAGGTTTTTTTTTTACATCAAAGTTCTTTAAACATCTCACTTTGAGAGCTGAACGGTCACACACACCCAACAGCTTCCATCCTTAGATTAGAGACGTTTGGAAGTGGTTCACAGTTGTATGCAAAAGAAGGTTTTCTACAAGTTGGTGATATAATTAGTTTGGGGAACTTAACAAGGATGTTTTTCAACAGAATTTGTTTGAAAAAGACATAAATCATTCCTGCACGAACAAAAACTTATTTTTTCTTTTTTTTTCTACAACCAGCTCTGGCACCCTCACTACTCACCATTTGATGAACTGATTGTAGGGTTCTTTTCCAACAGTTCATCTTAAATTTTGTCAACTTTTTTGTCTTTGTTTTCCGCTTTCTCAGCTTTAAAGTGCAGGTGGTAATTAGAAATCCATATAAAGTCTTTACTAAATCTACATAATTGTCAGATAGGATGTGGTAAGTATGCAACATTTAGCCTTTAACCAACTTACTCTTTATTTGGTTCCTTATTTTCTTTTATAAAAACTAATGATATTACAATATTAATATTACAAGAATTAAAGTTTTTGCCCCTTTGACCTGTCTGACCATTCCAAACTGTAGGAAAAGAAAAAGTCCAGATGTTTGGCTTGGGTAATGGTCATTTTTTAGGTTAAGTTGTGTCCAGGACCCCTGTCTGTGCTCACTGTACCAGATGAGGGTCTGAGAACGGAAACGGCTTTATCCCATGCTGCCAAAAGGGGGAGTGCAGGACACAGGAATGGTCAACCGGTTGCTCCAGTCGGCGCGTGGCGCTGGAGGCCTTTGGCCGCTTTGGATTTGTGTGTTTGAATACTGATGAAAGGAAACAAAGCAAAGCAAAACTCCGGAAAAAGCTATTATGAATGTGTTCTTTCCAAGCTCGTGTGAGTGTGCATTGGCGTGTGCACGCGCCTGGCACCCCCCTGCAGCTGCGCTGTGGAGGCACATCTGGGGAGCGCGCTGAATCCGAAACAGATTGCGTCCCTAATAAATCAAACAGCGGATCCGTCCGTTTTTCTGGCGGGCTGGGAGTCGTGTTTCAGCCTCTGAGAGGAGAGGCCGGGGCTGTCCAACAGCTGGCCGAGGGCTGGACACATCTGCAGCGCGTTCCGGAGCGCGCGGAGCGGCCCCGCGCCCCGGACGCAGCGGCTCCGGAATGAAGAGACGCAGTTCGCAGCGCGCGCCGCGTCCCGAGGGGACGCGCGAGGACCTCTGCCACATCTGCCACATCTGCAGCAGCTGAAGCTCCCTCAGCCTGAGAGAGGGCTCTCCAGGAGGACCGGACCGGAATGAATGAGATGCAGGAGCCCGGAGAGGAGCTGCAAAGCCCCGGCGCACGGACCCCGACCCGGACCCCGGCCCCGGCCCCGGGGGCTCCAGCCCCGGTCCCGGGGGCTCCACCGGCCACTGCCCCGGCCAGGAGACGGTTCCCCAGGCTGGGCAGGAAGAGCAACGACGGCTTTATGCAGTGAGTACAAACCACTGGCTGCTTCCAACCTTTACACATTCTATGCTCTGGGTTTGAAACCCTTTTCTCAGCTTCAACGGCAAGAAGTCACAGAAAAGTTTCTAGAATTATACAAAGAGTTGAATCCTTATTCCTTTGAGCTTTTCCTATTTTTCTTTTAACAAATACAAGGAGATATGAGATGTTTTTTCTTGTTTTCGCTGGTAGAGATAATTGCACTGATTAACAATAGTCAAGAAGATTCTCCATATCAGGTGCTGACCGGTGAGGGTGTAAGGGAAATGCTTATCTTTCTGAGCCAAGATGAGTCTGTCCATGTCAGTTTCCACTAAGTTTCATCAGAGAATAGAGAAAGCTGAGATTCTAGATTGTGATGATATGAGGGAAGCAGCAATGGGGAACTTTGAACAAATGTACGTACACCAATGCTTCCTGGACCAGTAGAATGGAAAATAATAAGACAGAAGAGAGTAAAAAAGAAAGATATACAGCAGAATATATTTAAATAAAAAAATATAGATCAGAACAGAATAGAACAGAATAGAAAAGAAAAGAATAACATAAAAAGAGAAAGTGTTTCATTCACCATTCACCACATGGAGGTTTGTGGCTGTATCTAAATATTTCTTCGATTCAATAGTTGAGTTTTTCCCCTTTTCGCTTTTGCAAAGTCCTTTTCTAGTAAAGTTTTCATAAAGAAAATGATCTGTGAATGTGTGTGAAACCAATCTGAGATCAGAAAAATGATGTCTTATCCGGGGAGGTTGCTGTTTCCGGATAGTGCCGGACCTCAGTCTGCTCTCCAGGTCCGGTGAAGGTCTAGTGACCATCACGAAAGAGGAAAGAAGACGAAACCAAAAGAAGGAACTATTTCAGAAAGAATGGACACAGATTTGAAACAGATTTATCAGTGTCAAATCCTCTATGTGGAATCCTGATTATTAGTCCTAGATTTGAACAATTGATTAGATCCTGCTTTTCTTCATTAGCCAGAGATGCTGATAACATTAATAGACGAAGGCACACTTCTTCAGAATCACTGGACCTATTGTGGCTCAAAGTATCCCCTAAGAAGCATCGTATGATTTCAGAGAAATCTGTGCTGGCTCTCACATGACATAACTGTGTAAGGCCTTTATATCCCGGGCTCTTAGCATTCACCACTGACAGCATCAGGATCTGAAACGGCCGAACCCCCCGCCAGTGTTATGGCGTAACGGCAGAGAACCTTTGAACCAGAGCAGTAAGGAGCTTAGTGGGGCTTGTTCAGGAGGGGAACAAGACTTCATTATTTCAGTCATGCACTGAGAGGGAGCCGGAGGAGGCATGGTGAAAGAGACCAGAGCGGGGAGTGGACAAGTATGTGCAGGTCACCCTGGATCTGGGATCTGAGAAACCTCAAATTCATCGACTAATTCGCCCTTTTTTTTGATGTGCATTGTCAGTTTTGGTGAGATTTTTTGGTCATTGTTTGTTTTCCCGCTCTTCCTGCAGGTCAGACTCACCCACTGCCCCCCCCGGCCACCGGCCGGCCGACGGCGTGGTCATCAGGCGGCCCAGCAAAGGCCGCATCCGCCGGCAGGCCAACCGCCTGTCGGGGGTCTTCTTCCGCGGCCCCGCCCCCCCCCCGGGCCCCATGGCGCTCTCCCCGGCCCCCAGGCCGTCCCGCTCCGTCCTGGCCAGGAAAGGAAGCAGTGAGTCCAGCTGAACGGGGTTTTAGCCGATGGTGGAATGTGGCGAATGAGCTTTTCTGTACCCGTCTTTGCTGTTATTGACACAATAGTTAGTTCTCCTTCTGAGCTGGGAACCTTTGTTTTTATCACAGGATTCCCATAATTGTTAACTATGCAGAAGAAAACATGTTTCTCCTTATCTGGAGAACAGAGAACCGGGACCAAAAAAATGACCGAAAAAGCAACCAATGGTCAAAGAAAAACTCTGAGAGAGTCTCAGAATTCCTGATAAACTGTTGCTCAAGGACACTGTGAAGGATTACAATGGAGCCTGGATCCTTCAAAGCAAATCCTTTTTTGAATAGAGGCAGTGTAAGATCCATAGATTGCTCAGGTCTGGAGGAGGGAAGGAAAAATGGGGGATTATGCCACCAGGGCTTCATGTGTTTTAACATTTAAAGGTGTTTATTTAAAGAAAAAAAGGCAGGATAGAGTTTATAAGTATCAAATAAAAGCAGAAACAATTGTGGGGAATGTTGAAAAGTTTCTTTTTCAACCATCCAAAAATATTCACCCATTTGATGTTTGTATATTACAAATTATATTGTAAAAAATGAAAATTGTAAATATATTATGTAAATTATTGTAAATTATGCACATCTTGCATCACATGCTGTTGGACTCTGTTTCGTTGTGCATCCACATTCTCCGCCCATGGCGGGGGCTCATTTGTATCCAGAGAAAGTCTGGATACAAATATTTGTATCCAGAGAAAGTCTGGATATAAACATGGCGTGCCGCCGTTGTTATTCCGCCACAGGCGCTCAAAGGAAAAAAAACCTCTCCTTGTGTTCGCTCCCGTGTGCAGTGATGGTGGTGGACCCTCTGCAGGCGGACGACCCCTTCGAGCTGTCCAATCAGATCACCGCCCCCGGGATCCTGAAGATCTTCGGGAACGAGATCTGTGAGGGCGCCCACTATAAGAGCGTCCTGGCCACGACTCTGTCCAGCGCAAAGGAGCTGGTCAAGGAGGCTCTGGAGCGGTGAGGCCCCCGTCTGTCCACCACATGTGCATGTGTTTCCACCCCCCCCCACCCCAGTTTCCTCATGCACCTTCATGCTTTGTCAGTCAAAGCAGTTTGAACTCTGCCGGAGCAGTTTTTCTGAGCTTTGCCTGCCGATTAAATCCATCTGATCATCAGACTCTGGATTAAAAAAGTCCGCTGGTTATGTTTAGTGGGACCACAGCCCAGTGGAGACTGGGAACATCAGCCAAACTGGTCAGGAAGTGGAGCGGGCTGAGCGACAGCCGGTAATGGCTCTCGCTTTTACTGTCTGTCAGCCTCTGTTTATGCAGAAGGGCACGATTAACCAGGAGGAGTTCAGCCTGGAGAGGAAAGGGAATCCTTTTTTATGCACCTCACTGAAAACTTTACGTATAACAGCAACATCTGGTTACAGGACGTTATTTCTCCCCCTTTTATCAATAATGTCTGGCGCTACAACTAAGTTCATGCTAACAATAAAAGAAATATTACGGTGGAAACCTTTTGCATGCAGACAAAATTAAGACTGATGAGCAGTTTGGTTCATGTTTGGTTTGGTTTAGTTAAACTAGATAGATAGACAGATGTTTTAGGCTTTGTTTAAGAGATTATGAGCTGGGATTGTCTAAAAAGTATCTGAAATGAAGCTAAACATGTGCTGGATTAGATTATAAAAACGACCTCTCCCATGTCGTACTTATTTTTCCGTTGAATCCGTGTGTTTTACTGAACTTTTACTGGTTTTGGGTTTTGCATTTGGGCTTATTTTTAAACTAACCGGCTCGACTCTGTATCATCCAGGTATGGACTGAGCAAGGAGGAGGCTGAGTCCTACGTCCTCTGTGACACCATCGGCTCCATCAGCAACCACCAGTGGAGCACGGAGGGCTTTCGGGTGGTGGGCGACCACGAGAAGCCCCTCCTCCTGCAGTCGCTATGGAAACCCAGAGAGGGCTTGGCCAGGCGGTTTGAGATCCAGAGGAGAAGCCTGGTGGAGGAGAAGACGTCCAAAGAGAAGGACACGGTGACGGCCGGTAGGGCTCCCTCCCAGTACCGGGGTCTCTCCCATCCTCCTTTAAACGGAGCCTCTGGAAGTTTAAAACCAGTTTAAGATTAAAAATGTGGTTGTTTTTCCAGTTAAAGTCAGCCGAGCCTCCCAGACAACGTCTTATTTCCTTTGTTTTCCGATCCCGTTACAAATGTGGATCCTATTTTGTGCCGCCATTAAAATGTTACGAGTGGCGGCCTGATGAATTTTGCATGCACCCGCCGATTTAATGGCCAGTCCCCTCCCTTTAACACTTCGCTCTGAGGTCAGAAAAAAAGCAGGACACGCGACAAAATGCCTCGCTCACCCGTATTTGTCCAACGCCATGGGGCTGAAAACACCCTCAACTTTCCACCGAGGCCTGACCCAAACACAGCGTGGTACTGTAAAGGTGCCGGGGGGGGGGGCTCTCAGGCCGCCATCGTTTCGGCCGGGGTTGACACAGCTGCGGGGGCAGTGTTAGCCAGTGTCCTGTTTTGTGTTTTGCTTTGTGAGTGTGACTGGTTTATCAGCGCCGGCCTGCTGAGGGGATGGACGCGTCCTTTTTTTCTGTTTCCACCCGCTCTGTGTCTCTTTCCACTGAGCTCTGCTTCCTGCACGGGGCTTCTGCCTGTTGACTCTGGCATGACAAACTCTCGCACGCCTCGGCTTAGGTCAGAAAATAAAAATAAGGGGGTGGTTCGGTCACCGCGTCCCATCGCCTCGTGTGTTTGATTTGTGACGCGTTCACAGCCCTCTGGTTTTGTTTTCTGCGTGTCCCCGTCAGGTATCAACGCCCAGGCCCGCAAGCTGCAGAAGAGCCGCTCCAGAGTGACCTCCACCCTGGTGGAGCGGAGCGCGGGCCGCGGTCAGAAGCTGTGGAGGAGCAAAAGCGAGATGGACCTGCTGGACGCCGAGCCCCAAACTGACCCCGGTCAGCAGGAAGGAGCCGGAGGCCGGCGGGAGCAGCAGCCCAGCCCAGAACAGAACCGCATTCACGGCCCGGGGGGGCTCCCCGAGGGGGGCGGCGGGCCGGGGGCCCACACAGAGACCCTCTGTGTGTCCAGGCCGGGGGGCGAGCGAGAAGGAGAGGAGTCGGAGAGAGAGGAGACGGAGAGCAGCGACGATAACTCCACACAGTACTCCATTCACCCCCCCAACGACTGTCCATACCTGCTGCTGCTGCAGGGCTGCAGCCTCACACAGGTAACCCCCCCCATACACACACACCCCCCCACAGAACCAACACACACTGTGAGACAGCTGCCATCAGTTGAAGGATAAAACAAAAAAGACATCATATAAAGACACTAAATGTCTAGATGGGGGGGTTAGTATAGTGGTGAGTGTCCCCCCCCCCATCATACGGGAGACAGGGGGTCCAATTCCCCGTCTGGGAGATACACATGTTCATACAGTAGAACCTTTACATACAAATCTAATTAGTTCCAGGACCGACTTCATATGTTAAAATATTGGTATGTTGGTTCAAATCTTCCATCAGAACACACTGTAATTCCTATAATTGGTTCCAAAAACTTACGATAACTCCTTAATAAATACTGGAGATAATTACACATAGCAATTCAACAAATGCATTATATAAAAGAGATGTAAAAAGGAATAAACTATAAAGAAATAATCTGTAAAAAGGGGTTTTATTGGCCCTCAGGTGGAGACTGAGATACAGGAAGTACCCTAACTTGCTCTGACTTTCACTACCTGAACTTTAAACTAACTTAGCTTATTAATTTTTATTTAATTTTTATATTTTCTCTATGTTTTTCTATGACTCCGACCTCATACACATCGTATGTTGGAAAATTACTTTGGGTGTGGAGTCGAATATTTGATCGAATTCCCCTTCCTATGTTGGAAAATTCGTCTGTTTAGGCCTCGTAGGTAGAGGTTCTGCTGTACTCCCGTTAAGTGCGTTGGACATTCCGGTGGTTTGCCTCAGACACTGGTGAGTGATGAATCTATCGGCCCCCCAGCTGACCAGTGGTCAAAGGTTAAGCCCTTCTTATGTGTCCAGAGCTCATCATTAACAAAAACACACAAAACAATCCATATTCAGAAAAATAATGGAAGTTTTGGTCTATGTCGGTAAATGTGCCCTCCGCTTAAACAATGTCTGATAAATACTGCATGCTTGACCAAAAGTGGCTTATAATGTTGAAAGTGAATTTGTTCTTATAAAGGGGAAGAAATTTATAAATGGTAGCTAAGCAGCTTAAATAGAAACAAAAGAGTAAAATGATTTTTTTCCCCCTTTAATCCCTCTGGTTGAGAACAAGGGTTTTCCCCAACTAACTGCAGTAAAGAAGCAACAGATCTTTGCTTAAATGTCCTCCATGGTTTTCAACTTGTGAGGATGAAAGGAGTTTTAGTTTGGGGTATTTTTACATGTGCAACCTTCGATTCATCACCCACCTCTAGAAGCATCACTACATTTCTGATAAGTTTGTCCATCATTGCATTCAGCTTTTGACTGATTTGATGGGTTAAAAATAGAAATAAAGATGTTAAAAATAATATATTAGAAAAACATAGATGCTACAGAGGGATATGTGAGTTTGACTGTGCAAAATTGCCATACATCTGCTCTGTAAATAGTGTTTGTACGAAAGAAAAAGAGCTGTAGCATGGCAAAACTTCCTGTTTCTACCTGAAAAAGCTGAATTGTAACACAGATTTATACACTTCTAACAGAGTTTTTTTTTTTAAATCAAACACTCATAGCTGTGGCTGTTGAATACGTGTATTAATTTTCCAACAACACCTGGAATTCTCTCTAGATTGGAACTAATATTAGGTTTCATTTTATTAGTTTTCCATGAAAAAGAATGCCTTCCTCCACCAGTCTATCATCAGACCGTCCAGCCCTGCGTTGACACCTTCACATCAGAAAGCTAATTCAGGCTGTTTACCCAGCTTTCACATGTATATTCGACAAGGATAAAACATATTTGACGTTTACTTATTATAAGATATACTTAGGACTGTTTAATCAGTGTAAAGCCATGTAAGGTAAATGATAGTGGAAAGATCCACAGTGTGAAGCTCAGCAAGCTGTGTAAAGAAAAAACAGTGATCAGGAAACAGAGGAGGTCAACGCCACGCTCGGGTTAACGGAAACACTACCCGCCTAATCCGGTTCAGACCTGGACTGTAACTCTAACACCTCCACATGGTCAGAAAAACTGTTTTCACTGAGTGAGACGAGAAAAAAAAACTGCAAAGAAAGTTGATTAAAGTGTTCAAAAGAGTGCTTTGAGAATGGTGCTTTAAAGAATCATTTGCCATGATTCCGAAAAAAGTTTAACTCCTTTGAAAATTGAAATACTAAGAAATGGTCTCATGTAGAAAATAATTGTCCCAATAGCTCTTAATCTCAGACCCCTTCCACTGGAAAGAATACACTTAAAACCTGCTAGCAAAATGACATGCAAAAGCTTAATTGAGTTTTTTCTGGACAAACATATTCACCGTTCTTGGTTTTTATGTGCAATTCTGTACATTAGAAGACAGAAAGCCCCTAAATGATCTCACTTTTCTTTAAATTCGGAATCACGAGGCTCAATTAGTCAATTTTAGAATGTTCGCAACAAGCCTACTTTATGACCTGGAACATTTAGCCCAGATTGTGGCCACTGTAAAGGCGCTTTACAAGATAAACGTGAGGGCTGTCCGGGGTTCAGACGCCTGCTGGCGTCTGGGCCGAGTCCATTAAAGGACGGCTCATCAAATACAGGAAGAAATAACTGCATGTCAACACTAATACGGACTTCAAATGACTTTTGGAGCAAAATAAATGGCCAGAAACGGTAAATCCAGCTAAATGAAAGCATTGACGTGATAATGTTTAGAATAAGTAAAAAGTTCAATGGAAATGGAAAAGTTTTGGCACTTTGGCATAGTTTGTCCTTTCACTAGTCTTGATTTGAGCCGCAGTATTTTTTCTATCTTCGCTAAAGAAAAAGGTTCCCACTGGAATTTTTTAACCGTTTCCATCCATCTCTTTGAAACTTAATGAAGTTGACATCAGAAAGGATCAATTTAGGAACGTGGTTCCACAAAAAAAAACAAAAAGAAAAGAAAATGAGAAAGAAAAAACTGCTGAGATCGGCTTGAGGAGACTCTGTGATGACAGTCCATAAAAAAAACCCATTTATAAAAACTGCACTGAAATGAAAAATGTTGGAAACATAAACATGTACTCCCCAAAAAGAGTGGGGTGTCTCTGTTCCTCCACAAAACACGATAACGGTGCTGAAAACTATCCGCTTCCTTCACTGACATCAGGAATGTTTGTATGAGATAGACATAGGTGTGGGGTTAAAAAGTTCTGGTGCTGAGTGGAAGATGGACAGGGGGGGGGGCACCGGAGGGTCGCCTCACGGAAGGCTGAGGACTAAGTGATTATTTAGGCTTTTTTTTTACAGTCAGGGGCCTTTAACCGTCACTGAGTCCACCATGAAGGCCTCCATGCAGTGGGTCATCAATGGAGCTGGTGGCAGTGCGGGATATCTACTATATAATGCCTCACAAAGAAGGGAAACAGTGTTGCCCTGTGCTGGGACATTTAGGGAGATGTGGATAAGCAAATCCTCGCGTAGTCCCAGCACAGTTTTGTGAGAGACTGCTAGCATCATACAGTGATCGCATCCCGTTATTGCTGCTGTTAAACTGGATTGTAGATGTTATTTTCTGCTGTATTTTGGCTTGGTTTTGTGAAATCTGTGGGATTTAATGAGATATTTTGGGTGCAGTTGCTCCGTATAACTGAGTGTGGACCGATAACAGGGCAGAGGAACTAAGGTTTTTCAATTCAAAGTACTTTATTAATCCCACAAGGGGAAATTCCAGCAACAACACAATGAATGAACCTCTTAAACAACAATGAAAATAATAAAAATGATTAATAATAATAACAATAATAGGTATGTTGCAGAGACTGATGGTGAACAGAAATAATACAACAGAAAATGTAAAAAAAATACAAAAAGGAACCAAAAAAAGACCAAAAGATATCGAGCAAGGAAGAAGCGACTGGAGACGAACATTACAGAGACCTTAAGGCGGAAATGGCCAGGACCTAAAAAATCACATAAGAAAAGGAACGATCAACAAAAATGCAAACACTAGAAAGTCAAAAAGCAAAAGCACAACGCAAACCATCAATGACAAAAGTCGAAGTGGAAACAAAGCCACAACAAATCCGCAAAAACCACAACACAAATCCAGAACAATTGACAACAGGCTGCACCCACCTTATCTTAAACCCTTAAGAGGAGCAAAGGATAATGAAGTTATTATTACATCCTGAGATGCCAGACCTCAGAATTGAAGGATTTTTTTCTCCAGATTTTTAAAAGCAGTGTCCACTCACTGTGCACTGAGCTACAGCTTTTGAAGTTTCTCAGTGGTAGATGACCACGAGTTCAGGTTTCAGTCAATGATTTAGTACGTTTATGATTGCTTTTAATTCTTCTTCAGCCAAACAGACTTT